AAGAGTGAACTGCTCACACGCTACAAGAGTGAACTACTCACACGCTACAAGAGTGAACTGCTCACACGCTACAAGAGAAAACTGCTCATACGCTACAAGAGTGAACTGCTCACACGCTACAAGAGTGAACTGCTCACACGCTACAAGAGTGAACTGCTGACACGCTACTGGAGTGAACTGCTCACGCGGAATGATTGCATTGTTTCACGCTCACACGCTTCACAAGTATCCAAACAAAACATTAACTTTAAAAATTTGTTTTAATGTTGGGAAAAAATTTGGAAAATCCATTAAACTACAATTTTTAAAAATGCTCTTCATAACGTTTTTTGTAGCTTATTTTTTATTTTAAATCCATTATTATTTAATCATAAATATTTTGAAAATTTAATTTGAAGAGAATGCTTTTGATAAACACAACGATTAAAGAAATCCACAGGAATTAAAGGATTAGAAATTACTCAACAAGAACAGAGCTCTCTAAATTTAAAAAAAAAAAATTAAAAATTACGAAGATGAATTTTTAAACGCGTTTGTCTATACGGAGTTATATTTTAACCCTCTAAAATTAATAGTTAATAAGGGGATCGAATCGTTCTAGATAAAAGACACAGCCTACATAAACAACGAAAGAAATAACGTCTTTGGTTTATTTCCGATAGAAAAATAGTTCTTCCCAGAAGTCTCCCCAAATTTCCAACATCCGATGTACGGTTTCCGGAAAGCCCTACTTATCGAAATAGTTTTGAAGAAATTTAAAAGTGTAGGTAGGGCCTACTAGTACTAGAAAGTATCTGGAAAACCCGGATCATTGACGCTAACAGTGGCTGGCACAGATTTTGGAGATAAGACCCTCTTGTTGCTGGGGTTGGAGCTGACCGTAATGGAACATCCGGTCAATTTGCTTTTAGATGATTGGTTCCAGAATCTGTACCAGGGATTAATAAAGCAAGGGCCTTAAATGTGTCTAATACCTTTAAACAATTTTTTTTTTAAATTGAAGACCGCTTAAACGTTGAACTTTAATTAAAACGTCTCAATTATTTTTTTTAAATATGTTTATTTTAATTCTGAAATTATTCTTATTCTATCTTTAGTTTGGCTTTTTTAAACTGGAGAAAGCAAACAAAAAAATAACTCGATTCAGCTTTTTTCTGGAATGATGATAAAAAAAAAGAAGTTGCAAAACACCTGTGTTCAAGACTTTGTCTTTGATGTAACAAAGTATTTTCCCATGTCAACATACAGTCATAAGACCTATGGAGTTGTTCAGCTTGGAATAAACATAGTAGATATTTTCTCTATGCTAATTCTCACAAAAAACGATTTTGTTGTATGCAACTAAACGCATTTAAAATACATTGTTCTATATTAGATTAACCAGATTAATATACTGTTCTATTTAATATGAATTCAATTAATTTATAGTATAATGGAGAAGCGCCCAATTAATATTCTGTTAGATGAATCCAATTATTAAATTGTTCCATGTGAAATACACACCGTTACTATTTCTTCCATGTGAAATATGTTGTTCTGAATCACAGACCTCACAAAACCGGAAGTGTCAAAGACGAAGTTTAAGAAAGTCATTTCCCCCTCTGCTTGAGATCATCGAGCCAGCAGACGACAGAAAAAATAAAACCGGAATAGCAGACGGCAGAAAAAATAAGACCGAAATAGCAGACAACAGAAAATAACACAGATTTTTGCAGACAGAAAAAATAAAGGGTAGTGAGACTAGGTGGAATTTTAAAGAATTTAATATTTACTAAAAATACTTTCAAACTGTTCTATTCGGCAATATTTGGTTTGGGTTTTTTTTTTATAATTTGCTAATTAAAAAGCGTGGTAGATAGGTTGTCTGTGTGATAAGATGAGGGTTGTCATTGTCAGGTTTTCTGGTTGTAAGGGTTGTTATAGTCAGGTTGTCTGTGTTGTAAAGATTGTTATAGCAAGTGTAACATACTGTACTTTTGGTATTGTTTATTTATATTGTATTTAGCATAAACTTGTATGAAAGTAGATTATCTGGCCAACGGAAGGACTGTATGAGCGACTAGTCATGTTTTTCCATGCTTTTTGTCATATCGCTCACTGACGTTAGGGGAGAGAATAAAGGGGAGCGTAAGGTGGACTAGTGTGTGCCTGTATAAAAGAATATAAGCCTTTACCATGTCACTATGTTCGTGGATTGTACTTGGATTATTGTTATTCTTCTATGGATTTATTATCATTATACCTTATCGCTGTAAATAAAGTTGGAAAATGAAAGAACTGTTCATCGTCTCTATTGAAGAAAAAACTCACAATAACAACGTATTGTCACATCAACAATAATAATCATTAAAAAAGTTAAAAAAAAACCCACGTTTTCTGATTGAACTAAAAAGTAGAAAATAATTGCTATACATCACAATAATGCAAGCGATCACTCTACTATAAGCGATGAAAAACGTGGGGCGCCGAAGTAAAAGTTATATTACTATTGATTAGATAATACTATTGACTTTTATTAGGGAGCTTGTAGAGAGTCAACAGTATTAGAAACTGTAAGAAAATCACGGCGCCCCACGTTTTTGATCGCTTATAGTAGAGTGATCGCTTGCATTATTGTGATGTATAGCAATTATTTTCTACTTTTTAGTTCAATCAGAAAACGTGGGTTTTTTAAAACTTTTTTAATGATTATTATTTTCTACTTTTTAGTCTTTGTCTGTTTGTTTGCATTAAAATCTTGCTATCGATTTTATCTTTTCACTTTTTTTTTGGGTAAACGAAGACAACTCGTAAAAAGACAACTCGTAAAAAACACGTTGTGTGAATACGTTACTGACTAGAACACATAGATTTGAACCCGTGTCGAGTGGGATAGCAATCGTGTGCCCAACCACTCGACCATATCGTCTCCCCCATTCTGGCCACCAGTTGTTACGGTTGTTTGTACACAAACACCGCGTGAACACTACTCAGTAAGCAAAGAGGGAGAGTACCGAACCTTGTTTTCATCAAATTACAGTTACTGGGTTATGTCCCTTTTTCCCCACGTTTTTACTACAATTATATAGCGGTCTAAAATGCTCAATAAAATGTTTCCATGGATCAATTTAGTAATAATAACAATTGAATATTCTATGGTCATCGGAAACAAAGCTTCCCTGAAAATTTCAGCGCGCTAGCTAACTGGGAAGTGCCCGAAATATCGATCGCAAGATTTGATTGGAGAACCAAACAAACAGACGCGAAAGCAAGTTAAAGAAAACGTGGGAAATACGCGTTGTTACAGAAAGGTTGTGTGTTGTAAGAAGAGGGTTGTCATAGTCAGGTTGTCTGTGTTGTAAGAGGAGGGTTGTGATAGTCAGGTTGTCTGTGTTGTAAGGGGAGGGTTGTCATAGTCAAGTTGTGTTGTAAGAGGAGGGTTGTCATAGTCAAGTTGTGTTGTAAGAGGGGGGTTGTCATAGCCAGGTTGTCTGTGTTGTAAGGGGGGGGGGGGTATTGTAACCTAAACACAATATAACCTGTAAAACCATTTTGTTTTCTACATCACTGCACGACTTATCGATGTCTGTCAAGGTCGACGCGGAAGTTGAAAACACATTCCATTTCATTTTCTTCATCTTTTTCTTTTTGTTTTGTTTCAGACTAGGATTACGAACAGATGAAATTTTCCAGACATTCATTATATTAATTAGGTTAATTATCCATCACAGGTTAAGATGAAAATACAGCCCTTTGATTTATGTCTTGCAGTTATTAAAAAAAATACAATTATGTCGGCTCTTAATAGGATATTACGGCGTAAACATTAATTAAACAAGTGCTCTAATCAGGTTGTAAAGGGAGATATATATCGAATATTCTTGATTGAGCTAATTCGGAATTAGATTTAACAGAATTGTATTAAGGCCATTAGCGTCCTAGCCTAATTGTTAGATACTTTTGAGCGTTTGGGGCGGGAAGGGGGGGGGGCAGACCTTAACGCCTTTGATGATCTCTATTGTAGAAATATTATAGAGTGAGGTGAGGGGGGGTTGAGAGGTGGGTAGGGGGGAGAGGGGACAGGTGTGGTGGTGAGAGGTGTGTGGGGTGGAGGATGAAACAGCCTGGGATGATCTCGAGTATAGAAATATTATATGATGAGGTGAGATGGGGGGGGGTGGGAAGTGGGTAGGTGAGAGCCGCCCTTCAAACATAAAGCGACACATAAAGCTTTCAATGTCTGCAGAGTTGTCAGGAGGGCGAGTTTGCGGACTGGGGCAAGTGTGTTTTGTGTGCTAGGTCAAGCAGACTCAGGGGAGGAAAATTAAATATTCCGTGAGTGTCCTGCCAGGATATTTACACAAATTGTAGGCCAAATTATTTTTCACGATTTGATTGCCGTTACATTTTTTTTTAAAACAAACCTTTCGATATATTATACTAATAAATATAATTTATTACAAATGATAGTGATGTTTTGATGTCTTGGGATGAGTTTAGATTGAAGGGATGGTTCGATGCACTGAAGGTATTTTTGTATTCAATGTAAATTGGGTGCCAAATGTACAGGTGCAAACATAAGCACCAATGAGTACTGAGTACATGTAATGAGTCCCACGATGTATTGAATTCCAACATGTATTGTGTCAACATGTACTAAGTACCCACATTTATTGAGTGCCAACATGTACCAAGTACCCACATGTACTGAGTGCCAACATGTACTAAGTACCCACATGCACTGAGTGCCAACATGTACTAAGTACCTACATTATTGAGTGCCAACATGTACAAAGAACGAAAGTACTCACATGTACTGAGTGCCAACATGTACCAAGAACAAAAGTACTCACATGTACTGAGTGCCAACATGTACCAAGAACAAAAGTACTCACATGTACTGAGTGCCAACATGTACCAAGAACAAAAGTACTCACATGTACTGAGTGCCAACATGTACCAAGAACAAAAGTACTCACATGTACTGAGTGCCAACATGTACCAAGAACAAAAGTACTCACAGTGTCTGAGTGTCCAGGACGAAGAAGCGATGACCAGCAGGCACGGCGTCAAAGACGGCCCCAGTACAGTTGATGATCTGGTACCAGCTGCTGGTCAGTGGTCTGGTCGAGCGGCACAGCGTCGTGGATATGTCGTGGACTTGCCACACCCCGTCATCAGAATGGACGCGTCCGGGTTGCTCTGTAGCCGCCGTGGGCGATTCCATGTTGAGGGGTGACATGTCGTATTTGGTGTCTCCTGATTCAGTGTTCGAGTCTTGATATTCGGAATGTTTGGTGGTTGAGCTGGTGGAAGGGGACGTGTAGAATAATAGGTCACGGTCAGGGTGACCTTTGATGATCCGCTTCTCGCGCGGATTAAATCTTGTGTTCTTGTTAAGGCGTTTGTGATCTTCTCTGTTCAAGGCTTCCGGTTTTGGATGAAAACCATTTCCCGTAACTCCTGACAACTGTTTGTTGCCGTAGTTGTTTCCCTTGCTTTTGGTGACCCCGACGGTGAGGGGCTGGTTTGGGCTTTGTGATGTGACGTCAGCAAGTTGCTTCACACCAGGGGTCGCTTGCTGGTCAAGGTCAAGGTGGTCAGTCTCGGCCGAGGACAAGCCGCGCACGTCTGCACTCACGCGCACATGATGTGGCAGGTGTGTGTGGGACAGGTCCGTTACCTGGGGCGCGTGCTTTGACCTTTGACCCAGGGCGAGCTGCACGTGGAAGGCGACGAGGAGGAGCACGGGCGCCAGAACGACGAGTTTGGTCACGTGTGTCGTCTGGCACCGCTCGAGAAAGATTGTATCCAACATGGCGGCTCAAAATGTCCTCAGAAATTGACAACTCTTTCTTTTAAACAATAGGGTCAGGTAGGAAATTATTCAAATTCTGCAACAATAAAAAAATACATTTCGTTAGCTTTAAAGAAATGCAGATGTATTCAAAAATAGAATAAAAGAACAATGTTTGTACAAAAAATATTATGTTTACAATGTAGCCTACATTATTTTTTATTTTATTTTATTAAAAACATTTACAGAACACATTTTTGTATAACTACATTTTAACTTTTTTCGTATACAGAGTATAGAGGAAGTATTGTAATCGTGCACAAAAATCACATCAAATTTTGACAGTTTTCACTTCGTCATATACGGAGTATAGAAGACGTATTTTAATCGGGCAAAAATTATAAATCCAAATTTATCAAAATTGTGGCGTTTTATGCGTAATCCAGTCAAAAAAACTGACTGGGTATTGCAATTCTTTCCGTGTGTGTTTCTGTGTGTGTGTGTGTGTGTGTGTGTGTGTGTGTGTGTGTGTGTGTGTGTGTGTGTGTGTGTGTGTGTGTGTGTGTGCGTATCAGAGGCGGAACTAGAAAAAAAAGGCTCCCCCGCAAAAAAATTTTTGGGCCCCTATATATATATATATATATATATATATATATATATATATATATATATATATATATATATATATATATATATATATAAATTTATATTTAAATAGCCTGCTTCTCTAAATTTTAAATAGTCGATTACCTGAGTATTTTGATCTATTTGATTGCAATGTATAACCACTCTGAGATAACGAACCAGACAAAAATAAGTCCGATTTCATTTCGCGCCCGAAATAATCGTGTTTTACAAAAGTTTGTATTACTTTCATGTTAACCGAAAATTGTGAAAAATAAAAAGTAAATGTTTTACAAGCTGGTCCAATTTATATAAACACTAAGCTTGATTTGTGCAATGGTTTCTCGCGTTATGTTTATTTTTATGATTTTTTGTATTTATATTATTAGTTTTGAATACATTCATTTTTATAACTCTAGATTTCTTCAGTATACCTTATTCAAATAATAATTAAGAGAATAAATTACTTTTTAATTTTCATAGTACAAAACTATTTAAATTAGCTTTATGGGCACCCTGTTTTAATGAAGTGCAGTAAGTCACGGAAGTAGTCTGAACATTTGACTACCTTTCAAAGTACAGCTCTTGTAGATTTTATAATTTTCTACGCAACAGTGTGTGTTAGTTACTGTAGAACAATCACTGCTATAGTTGACCTGTTTGTTTTTTACAAAACCACTATCAAGGTGCACGAAAAACATTATTTATGAAAAGAAACTTTATTGTTTTTTTTGGTCGAAATTGGGCCCCTAAACGTCGTGGGCCCCCCCGCATTGCGGGGTCTGGCGGCACTGTAGTTCCGCCCCTGGTGCGTATGTCTGTGAAAACGATAACTTCAATACCGTTAAAACTAGGTTGATGGAATTTCATATATGAGTATTATAGCAATTTTGTAGTTCTGTATCAACTTTTCAGCAATTTCCGTTAACCGGAAGTGGAACTTATTCTACTGTTTGTTTTACAAAAGCATATAACATGATTACTGTTTCAGATTGATAGATTAGATTTCACATATAAGTGAAAGATCTAATTCTCTGCTTTGTGTCAAATTTTGAGTAATTCCCGTGTACCGGAGGGAGTAATTTACGATATTTCCAATTTCCCAAAAAACGCATATGAATTTATAAAGGACTAATATTCCGCACTATTATACCCACATTGTTTGGTGTTCACTTTATGCGTAATTTTTTTTTACCATGTTCTATTGTATTTTTACAAATTTAGGTAATTCAAAAATGATTACAAATCATGTCTACATCACGAGAGTTGTCCTTCCCTGTAGTCAAATGCAAGTATATTCGAGAAAGTTTTAGGGAGATCACTCCCGCTTTATTACAATATTATTCAAGATTTCTTATTGCGTGCTCTACAACGCAGTGGAAAATTTCACCGAAGGCGTTTTGTGGGTTAACTGTGCAGTAAATAGACAAATGTGTGGGCTTTATCCATTATATGCCTGTTGTCTACACTAGTGAGTAAATCATAATCTTTACAAGGACATCGGTTGTTTTCTAGCGATTGTCAAATGTTTTTTACTAAATGAAAACCTCCTGATTTAGTTCAAAGAACAGAGCTTTTAGTGTTTTTTTTTTCATTTGACTATGGAACATTTTTTGTCGTACAAAACAAAGCTTTTATCTCCCTCTTCATGTGAGCTTCATCTTTGTTTTAACATAACAACGCGGATATTACAAAGAGGCTACATTAAATGCGACACAGAAACAGCAAAAGAAAACAAAACTGCATTGTCGCATTGTGACATTTGTTAGATGCACAAGTTTATGATACGTTTTTTAGATTAACATGTTTACGCTAAGTTTTTAAAATGCACATGTTTACGGTAAGTTTTATTTTTAAATGCACATGTCAATGGTATTGTTTTTTTTTTTTAATACACAAGTTTACGGTAATTTTTTTTTAAATGCACATGTTTACGGTAAGTTTTTTTTTAATGCACATGTTTACGGTACGTTTTTTTTTTAAATGCACACGTTTACGGTAAGTGTTAGAAAAATCTGAGTTTACACCAGACTAAACAACATACCTGACCTATTTGGGACAACACTAACGCGAAGGGCAAACGGCCTTCGGGCAAGTGGCTTTCGGGCATTTGTCGCATTCGGGCAAGTGTCCATTCGGGCATTTGTTGCATTCGGGCAAGTGTCCATTCGGGCGTTTGTCGCATTCGGGCAAGTGTCCATTCGGGAAATCGGCCTTCGGGCAAACGGCATTCGGGCAAGTGTCTTTCGGGAATTCTTCGTAGATCTAGACCCGTTTTCTTGAGTTGTTTTTTGTATTCTGTTTCTACAGCTTTTAATAGATGTGAACTATGCCTTTCCTCGTGTACTTCTCCAAGACTTCGTGTTGTTTAACAGTTTCGGGGACAGTGGGAGGAAGAGTGAGAGACGTGGGTGTAAACATGAAGGGGGGGGGGGGGTCGGTGGGGGGTGAGTGTGAGAACGAGATTAAGAATGTGGCGGATATTGTGGCATCTACCTTGTAAAATATGTCCTTTGATTATTGATTCAAATACACGGATATTGATTCTAATTAAAAGTCTAGGCAATCACATTTTTTAAGCGATTTCTGTTTAATTACATTTTTTTTTTACTTGTGATTAACAAACTCTAGTAGGCCTTTAGTAAACTTATCATTAAAGTAACAGAAAATAGTGAACACGATTTTGTTTAGATCTGTCATGTAAATAGTCTCACAAGTCCACTCGTTTAATCTCCGGTAGATATCCTAGTTCATGGTCCCGACTTTGGACCCAGCTCTGATGGGTACCTGGCTCACGTTTGTGAAAGTAAAGGCGGTTGGGCATATTTCTGACTACTTTTTCCATTCATACGCCGAGTTCAAGAAACATGAACTCTACTTCATCTACCCTTTGGAAAGTTAGTTCAGGATGGGGTACTTTACTTACCGTAATAAAATTACTGTTATAAATAATCTTCAAACATATAAAAGCATCTTCTACTTCCTGGATTTTTTTACTGCTAGAGGCTGTGTTAAACTAAATTTTTAAAAAAATGATTGATGTTATATATGATGATGTATTTCGACGAATACGAATTAGAACAAATGAATTTTTGTGGTAAAAAATGTATGGCCTTTAGGCATATTTAAAAATTGCTGACAAATTAAATATCTTTGTTAATCTAAGCTGGAAAATATATATTTTTTATCGATGACAATTTTTTTCTATATTAAGCGTGCACACTTGTGTTAATTAAAACGTACCGCCCTAAGCGCATTAGGATTTTTATAAAAATGTTTTTTTTTTCAGAAAAAATCTTTTAAAAATTAATCTTTTATATTTTTTTAATAATTTGATGTTTAATTAAATAACGGATAGAAAAACACTTTATTTATTTTGATGGTTATTTAAAAAAAAATGTTTGCAAGCAATTTACACATTTATTTTTACGGCCGTACCACTGCCAGTGAATAGACAAACAAAATAAGTGTTGGTGTTTGTCAGGGGAGACTATTCAAAATAAGGGGAAATAATTGTTTATATATTTCAAAGAGAATGGTCAATTAATTATCGCTGTAATGGTTTTTTAGTTCGATAACTGATCTAAACGGTATGATATATCCATAAATCAGACGAAATAGATACATTTTAAACGACAGAATATAATAGCCAGTAGACCAGTTGGATAGTTTACACTATGTATTAGCTTCGTGTGAGTCATCACCACTCAGTGATAAAACTATGTAGATCCAGGCTCTGGCATAAAAATGTTGTGTGTGATGGATCAGCGTCAACGTCAAGCTATACACAGTCTCGTAGGAGAAAATCAACACTTTAGTTTGATAGAGCAGGCACAGAAGTGGCGCTTAGTTCTCATAGCAGTTTTACACATACACACATTTTATATATATATTTTTATTGTATGTATATATATATATATGTATGTTTATATATGTATATATATGTATGTTTATATATGTATATATATGTATGTTTATATATATATATATATATATAACGGAAGAAAAAGAATAAGTGAAAACAATGCGCAACCGGAAACAAAATACCATCTCCCCCCCCCCCCCCCCCCCCCCCACCCCGGCAATGCCACTGACCTCTCTAAGATCAAAACAAAAAGATAATATTCAAGATATAACTTCCCAGTTTTACACGAACATATACAATGCTCTATCGTTTAATGAAGCTCGAATGGTTTTCTGACATCTGATATAGGCAACGTAGATCAGATCAGTTACATTAATTTTGTTTCGTTAGATTTCCTGCTTGCGGTTTTGTCTTAGTTCATGGAGATTAAGTTCAGGGGTCGGAGGAAACTTCAGCAATGGAAGAAAAATGTTAAGAGCTCACCCACCTACAATCCAGCGCATATAGGCCACATATACACAATGTACGGAACAAAGTATAGGAATAGCATGCATCCCCCCATATACACACCTACAGTAGAAACATGCAAGACCCGTATAGT